AGCAGTGCTCTTTGTGTCGGTTGCAGTCGGTTGCAGTTAGAGACGTGTCATACGGAGGTTCTGGGCGGGAATCCTAGGCTATTCAGGTCTAGTGGAGAATGTCGTCTCAAATGTATGTTACACTATTTCTTAAAATCCAGGGTAACGTCCTTTTCAGATGGTTCTCTTATAAAGAATAGTTCTTAGAAGTTTCCGTCGGATGACTCATAAACTGCATGCTAGCTTTTTGTTGTGTGACACCCGATCGAGTGAAAATAGAGCTGTAGCTTTCCATTACAATTGTCTCAGATTATATGCGTGTGTGAAGGGAATACGTAATGATCATGTGTCTCCTTTACCTCAGGAGTGGATAATAAATAAAAGCAGAGCCCAGGCCTGGGAACACTGCTATCTGGTAAAACTCGCATTAATCCGACCCCCCAATGCCACAACACTATAATTTTTAGAAGAAACTGTGAATCGGTCAGAAAAACACACACGAGGTAATTTGCTAATCGTGGAGTAACCGATCTTCTTGTTGAGGTGTTTTTTGCAGGCCACGTGAATCATCCTGTATACTGTAAATGTGCAAGTGCTGTATACGATGCTAGAACAGAAAGCTTTCTCTTTTTCTTAGAAATAATTGGGGTGAAAAAATATTTATATTTTAATCACACCTGGCATTGTAGATTTTTAATGTATCAAACAATCTACATGTTGATTGATTTACTGGTTTCCGAGCGCGTCAACTGCTAAGGTCATTGGTCCCCAAAATGTAGTGCATGTTTAGTACCTGGAGGTGGTGGTGATCTCCACCCGTCGGGTGACGAGATCTGGTGCCGACCCACACGTCGGCTTGTGGGATTTCACCAGGTATCTCACACCAGGGGGGCACTGCCCCTGTCGGGACACGCTCTAAGCTCCAAACTGGTTTCCCGAGATAATGTTAGTGCAGGACCTGTAACTACAATTGTATGTAAAGGGGTAATTCAAGCCTAAGGCAGTTGACGTTTCGTCGGTGTCATTCCCAATGCGTTGTACAAATGTAAGTAAGGGAAAAGGGTAAGTCATGGAAGAGCATGAAAAAATTAGACCCGGGCCGTGGCCCGTTTCTTATGTTACTACTCCAGTATTCGCCTTGTATTTATCGAGAAAAAACAATAGATAAGTACAGAGCAGCCAGCTGCTAGAATTCTTCTAGCAGCGGCTGAACTCGACCCATCTAACTAGCGACATCGAAAATCCTACCATTCGGGACTCAAACCTTAGAACAACCCGGTCAGTGACACTTCAGTGTCATACGTTGATGCTCTGAGCCACCTAAGCCGCTGCTATTGCTCGGCCGCCAGTTGCAGGGGTCTGAGGCTCTCGACGATTCGCTGGTGGCGTTCGCAACGCGTTCCACGAACGCTGATCCAGGCTGCGCCCTGACCTGTGACCCGCCTTTCCCTCCAGGGGCTTGGCCCTGTTGCTCACCTGCTAAATGGCTCCGCAATCCGCAGACGTTGCATTCGATGACGAGGGTAGAGGTTAACCCAGGAGAAGTGGTAGTTGAGTGAAAGCTCTATGAGAGTCCTTCAGATAATACATTACAGGCATGAACCCTGCACATATTCACCATTCAAGAAACGAATGTATATTCTTCTTCATGTCTCTGCATTGTATTTCGTCTCTTTGTGTAAATATACATCATATTCATGTACTTTCAACTACTACAATAATTTGTGTTCCCTGAAAATGATAGATTGAACAGAGTGTGGCAAAAAAATGTGGATACACTTCCGAATAGTTGAACTACTATTCTAGTAACATTTGCGAAAGTATTGTCAGTGATTGCAACACCTGCCGTTACAATTTATTCCCGAACGGTTGCCAGCTCAGCTGGTTTTCTTCGGTTTACATCATCCATAAGACTTCCCCATAAGTAGAAGTTTAATGGAGTTAGATCTGGAAAACGCGGTGAAAACACGATCGAACCTTTTCGTCTTATCAAGTGTCTTAAATATGTCATCAAGAAACTCACGTATATCTCAGGGTTAATGTGGTCAGGTGGAAGAGAAGGCTATGTGACCAGAGCCTCGCCACCAATAATTAAATTTATTTATTTAATATGGCGGTGCATTATTCTGTTGAAACTAAAATGGTGGATAAGACGGATCTCTGTTGCAACATTGGGACGGGACTAAAGGATTTGGGTAGGATTTAAGATACGTCACAGGGGTTGGACTAGCCCTTGTGAAACAGTTAAATTGGTTTAGTTACAATAAATTTCTCAGATTAGATTGTCCGGGATTCGACGGGAATCGAATACGGACCTCCTCAAATGCGAGCGTCTTCACTCTGAGCAGGTGACTTTTTGGGTTTGCTTCACATGCGCCTCTCAGTCCGTTTTCACCACTATTTGCCCACTTAAGTTGTAATAAAATGTGTATGAAATTTAATTGACTATTATGATGATAGTAATTTCCGAACTTTGCAAAAAATGCCCCATAAACGTTAAAGGTAAACATTCGTTAAAGCTAAAATTGGAACGTTTACTACAATTACATACTTGAAAAAGTATTGTTTTAAATTTTTCATAAATTATTTTGGGCGCATCATACCAACTACTTCCCTCTATAAAATACGTGTCGTTTTATTGTCATGTTCACTTATCACTCTCTCTCGCATTTCCAAGTTATCGACTCGGTCCCACCCTTAGCCCTACCCTATAGAACTGGAAAGGTTCTGACTAGTTTTATAATTTTGTTTCTGACGACTTCCTTCCTTCACATTATAATGAGAGATAGTTACACGTTATTATAATTGAATGTTTTTCTTCAAGATGCTCACAACACTATTTTTAATTCGTTATTTGTTTTGAGACGGCGTTTGGAGACTTCAACGCATGCGCCACCGGAGTCTGTGAATTGACAGCAGTTTGATTGTGGACAATCGATGACGTTCATGTGCAGAGCGTTTAACCCACACTTTCGACGCGCAATGTTTTGTAGATAGGGTGGATATTAACCTGCAGAGTTTTGTACAAAGTGAAAAATAAATATTTTATAGTAGTCATAATAAATTTTAAAATTATATCTAAAGGTATCTTGTGAGTGAAAGAAACAAAATAAAGAAAAGTAAATGAACCAATCAATAATTTCAATGCGAGTAAAACAGCATTCCACACATTGCTTCTATTTTTTCGCGAGTAGAGAAATAAATATTAGTGTACCTTCTTTAGGGGCAGTTAAACTGGCCCAAATTATTAATGATCCTCGCTCAGAGGGCATTCAGCTCATGTTACAGTGATAAGTCTATGACGACTGCATGCGTAAACAAAGACAGTTCGCACTCACACTCAGATGAACTCTTAATATTAGCAACAGTACACTAGAATGAATGTTGTTTACAGTTCATTCTGTTATATCGTACCAGCTTATGATATTCAGAAATAATAAGGGTCTGATAGAAAAGATGACAACGTTTGACCTTTGTGTTAATATGTAATTTGTATGATTAAATTGAAACCTATACAGAAAAAATGCTCCGCTACTTTTTCTTCTTCCTTATTACTCAACGAATTCCACCACATCATCTGTTGTCATAAGAAATATCGCAAGGAACTATCCCGTATAATATACATGTGCTCCCCTAATTGCTGAAACTCCTTCACACCGCTGTTCGTCGATGTGCACCGAAGCAAAGCTAACATCCTTGTTCTTAATGAAATAGTAACAACACCAACTGACCTCGATTCATTATATCTTCCTGCCTTAATTTCATTAAATATTAATTTTCAAATAAAGTTAATAAAAATTTGTATTTTTCCCTGTTAGTTGAGATTAAGAAAGTTAGCAAAATGTAGTAGCAAATAAACACTAATTATTCAGGCTGAAATAAATATGCTCCTTAATTTTTTGAATGAATTTTGTAAGGAAACATTCTTTAATCTATTTATCCAGTTCACTTCATCGTATTTAATTCGTGAAAACTTATGCTTTAATAATAAGGTTTTGTGTGATAACTGACTTGTAAAGATTGTTATTTATTATTGAAAATTAATACGCTTAACAATTCAGAGATGAATAATTGCCAATGTGAATTATTTCTGATGTAGATTCATGTGCTGCTGATTTTCAAATATATGTCTAATATTCGAGAATGTTTATTATTTAACGCCAAAACATTTGATACTGTTATTGAATTAGAAGACTGTTCTTATTAAAATTCACAAGAGAGGAAAATGTGTACGTACTTGTGTTTTATGATGAATGTATAGATATTTTTATCTCGCCAATGTTCTCAATTAATATTGGTATTGAAAGAAGTGGTATCAAAATATAATTATGCCTAATAAGAAAAAAGACGCGAGAATAAAATACACAAATCTAAAATTCAAAACTTAAATAAGTGAAACGAATGAGATCAGTCGATGTGAATTATTTTATACCTATTATTCTCATTATTTTTCATACAAGTAACTTTACAAGTAAATAAAATATTGGAATTGGAATGTGATTATCAGAAGTTTTAAAAACAATCATCGGTGAACAGTGAATTTTGTGAATTAATAAACCTGATCTTGGTGATTATCAGTGGTCTACATTAATATCGGAGATCAGTATATCGGGTTGCCAAAGGAAGAAGAAAAGTGTTTCAAATCAATAAATCAATAGATTCAACAAAATTTTATTGTCAAGGTGTTTACCCCAAATAATAACAGATCAACAAAAATGTTAACAGCAAAACAATAACAAAGGAGCGCTACTGCGATTACTGCCACGATTGCCACCCCCTGCGTGACTAGACGCCTGCCAGTTCGGCCAACATAACAAGAACACTTGCTGTCGAGTAGTATTAAAGATATTAAAAAAAGTTCGAAAATTAAGAAGTTATTGAAAGCATAGCTAAGAAAAAGTAAGAGATTTAGAAATGAGATAGCAAGGGGCCTTACAGTTCGTGTTGTAGATAATTGACAATTGTTGTAGAAATAACTAAACGTTATTTATCTTACAAATTGTACTTCATTTGCATTGCAGATTAAAAACGAAAGGGAATTTGAAGAAATAAAGAAGTGGAAAGAGAAATAAAAAAGTAAAAATAAAAGAGGAACGAGAAAGTAGTATCACTTGCTCAAAGAATACGAAGGAGTAGAAACGCATATATCAACATGGTACGACAGAATATCTCAGGATTTTTCCAACGCGAAACGCACGTAACCGCCCTCAGTCAGCTGGAGGAGTTAAGTTCGTGTGAAACGCATTCTGTGATGCAGGAACTTGAACGCGACTTAAAAACAAAAGAATAATAATCCTGAGAGATAGGTCGGCGACACGTGAAAGAAGAAGACAGTAGCTGGGAACCAGAATGGAAGCATCCGAGAAAATAGGTAAAGAAAATTTAAGGATACAGAGAAAAATGTACGAAACACGAAGAAAAGGGCATCAGTGTGACGACGGAACGGAGAGAAAGAAGAGGAGAGGAGCTAGTAAGGGTGGGAGTTAGTGAAAGGCGAGGAGGGTTACGGAGAGTGTAAAGACAGAGGTGAGAGAAAGTAGAGTGAACAGGAGGAGCGAATGAAACAACAGTAAAAGAACAGGAGAAAGCAGGCGTGGCGACGGAGGAGCAGGGGGCCGGGCAGACGTGACGAAAGGCGAGGACCTCCACTCGGACGAGGTCATCGCCAGCAACCGCCCGCGCTCGCAGGCGGGCCACGCCCCCTTAATCGTCGCACGACTTGACCAAGGGCTTGAGCGACACGCTGGCGCCCACGCACCCCACGCACCCCTGGATGTAGTCGTGGAAGTTGGACTCGAGCACCCACATGAGCCGCTTGTAGCCCGGCACGACGTGCGTGGCCAGCCGGCACTCGCCGCCGTTCTGCACCAGCAGGAAGTTCTGCGGCTTGAAGCAGGTCTGCGTGTTCCACATGTAGATGTCGCTCTCGCCCTTCTTGCGGAAGAAGATGGCGGCGCCGTTGTCGGTGCCGAGCAGCACGAGCGGCGCCGGCTTGGGGCCCACGTCGACGACGGTGCCGCGCGCGCAGCCGCGCCGCAGGTGCTCCGTGCGGATGGAGAAAAGCCGGCTGCCCGACAGGTAGGTGAAGTAGAGCACGGTGGAGCCGCAGCTCTTGCGGATCAGCGCCAGGTACAGCACGTCGCGCCGCGCGCAGCCGCTCGTCACGGCCTGTAAGCAAGACGCTGCTCTTACGACCTGCCCCTCGGAGGGGGTTTTGTGGAAGAAGGGAGCGATTGGCAGAAAAATAGTGGGGGAACTCATTCCTTCTCTTTTAGAAGGTGAGGAAGGAAGGAAGGAAGGAAGGAAGGAAATATGAGGATGAAAGTGTGAGAGAGACAGAGTGGGGAAGTGAGAGGGCGGGGGAAGTGCGGGAGGTAGTGAGAGATAAGCAATTGTATACGAGAGGGAGAGCAAAAGCCCAGGAAATGTCAAGACAAGAAAAGGAAATAATTTGAAAATGTAAATATTTTTAGACTTTGTTTGTTAGACTAAACTTTACAGATTCAATACGCGATAAATAACCAAACAACCACAAAGTTTGAATTTAAAAAAATGTGATCGTGATTTGATGGGATTCGAACGTTACTAATATATTGTTCATCGTAATTCATCATTCGTGTATATCATAAAGTTGTGACCGAAATAATTTCTACATAGTCTCCTTCAATGAAAGAAACATGCAGTCGGGTATTATTGTATCAAAGCGAGACTGAAATGGTGAACTCACCTGAGGGAGCACCACGCGGTAGCCCTTGCTGAGGGTGATGTCGTAGACGAGGATGGCGCGGCTGGCGGCGTCGCTGATGTAGACGTATGCGCGGCCGTCGGGCGCGTAGTCCACCACCAGGTACTGCAGACGGCTGTTGGGCGTCACCAGGGAGGACAGGTCGATCACCTTCACCACGCGCCCGGTCTTCACGTTGATGGCCACCACCTGCAAAGGACGACGATACCCTGTCAGCCAATGATGCACGTGCACTTGTTGAAAGATCTAATTCGAGATCACTAAGTATTAGTCAAGTTGCAGGTACACTCTCATTCGTATAGAATTCACAAGAATGTTATTCATTTTATATTTCCTCGGCAGTCTTCTATCTATATTCAAATGCTATACTTGAAGTGAAAAACTATAAATAATAAATTAATGAAAATCTCCCCAGTACTCAAAAGATTACGATTTACGAAGTCTTCAGTAGAGAACAAATATTTCATATCCATCATTAAAGAAGTGGTCAAATTGAAAAGCTAATAAAAACGATATCAGAAAATTTATATATTACGTGTGCACTTCTAAAGAGAAAATATTAACTAAAATTTGATTGCATAATAAATTATCCCTGCCCTTGTTCAAAGTTTATCACTGAAGAAAATTAATTAATTCAAAATACATTTTGAGAATAATGAGTCATGCTATACTAATTACATGATTTAAAAATATTTTTCTTAAAATTCAATTTAAGGACAATATTTCATTGTAAGAAATAACCTCTTTGTTGAAACATATTGCATAAAATACTAGCGACAGAGATTTTTTGTGGCAAATAATGACTAAACTTGACAATAAAATGGTGTTGAATTGATAATAACAATAATTATGGCTGTACGTTTCACATCACACACATTTGGTGTTTCTTTTTACCTTGGGTGGGCACCGGCGGATGGGAGTCTCCAGGGTGTTGACAATGCCCACATCGAGGACCCACAGGATGTCGTTGGCGTCCAGGAAGAGATCGACGACCGACTGCAGGGCCTGGCAGTTGCCTTCCTCCTGAAGGCTCCAGCACGGGAAGGGGGCCAGAGTTGCCTGCGCAAACGCAAGGGATGTTGCCATGGGAACGGAACACTCAATACTCTTCGTAATACGAGAAGCTTAACGACACTGTATCACTTCACAAATGTTGACCGCTTTACGAATAAATTATAGTATTGTTAAATTATTGGAAACATGATGCAGAACTAGGCCTGGAAAGTACAATCCATCAGTCTTCTGCTGGGAGAAATGGAACGACCGCATTGCATTGCATTCTGACTTCTTTGTCTTTTATTCAAGTGATTAAGTATAGTGTTGGCAATTGAAGAGAGCAATTCACTCCGCCTGATCATGTTCTTGAACTGATTCCAACGAAATATACCTTTTGAATTCCAGAGACATACAGTGACTTCTTATGGCAACCAACCACGCATTTATTAAAGCGATAATGGGCTGGTATATCCTATCATTACAATTAATCTCCAAATGTCAACGGAAATAATAATTAGTACCAGTTGAACCAAAATAACCCTTCTAGTGATGATATTCGTTTAGAGAAAAATAGTCATAATGAATAAAATAGTAATATCCGCGTCAGACCCGAACGATTCAGACTTTGCCATGTAGACAGTTCCTGTCTGATAGTATGCAAGTTCTAATGCCGTCATGCATTAAATGTATATTTCTTGGATTTCGATAATGTTTCTTTTAGGAGAATCTTATATTATCATCCTCGCGTAAGTTGAAAGCCCACAAACGAGTCTCGTAGATGGTTCTAGATGTATCCACTATTGATTAAAGGTCGTAAAGCTGTAAATGTGCTTCTACAATTCTATTCACGGTTTCCAATAACGCAATATCTTGCATTTCCCAGCCTTTTGAAGGTTCTGTGAATTGTTAATAAATTCTTATTTAAATTTTGTAGTACATCTCAGAGCAGCGACAACTGTTGGTAATAGCTGTTCTTTTATACCCGACGGCCATTTCATCACGCAATCCAGCGTCTGGTATTTACGTCATTTCTCTTTTAGCTGCTATCGAACAATCAGTATCGATTTGTTGGTCATACAGTGTTATACCTGTCCAAGAGAAGTAATCTTACCATATATTATTATTATTTTAATTATTGTTAATGTATTTTTTTTCAATTTAGAAAAGAGAAGTAACCGAAGAGAAGTAATCTTATCATATATTATTATTATTTTAATTATTGTTAATGATTTTTTTTAATTTAGTTTCTTTGTAAATATACATAAAAATATTTAAAATGATAACCATTGTTTTAATCGTGTTATAGATTATATCACTGAAAAACCCAATATTGCAATTGTTACAAATAGGACCTTTATGTTTTAAACTTTACATTGAATTATTTATGGTAAAATATTTCATTAAAATAGGTTTTTATGTAATTATATTAGGTAAAATTATAGTATGTCAACATTATGAAGTTAAAGAAGAAAATACTTCACAATTCTGTAATAATGGGCACCTGATGTTACGTCAGCTTGACGTATCAGAACTCACACCAAATTTGATGGAAAATAAACTATTCTATTATTATTATCATTATCATTATTATTATCATTATTATTTTTTTGTTAGTTTGAAGGCTTGGCATCAAAGGTCTTTAGCCTTTTTACTGATTGACGTTATAATTAATCATATAATAAATCTAAATTTTGAAAAAAAGATTGGCCTCTTTCAAGAACTGTATTGTTTTGTCAGTTGCTGTCTTGTCGGTGCGGAGGAGGATCTTATCTTCATGTTGCCATATCATGCCGCATCTGTTTCTAGTCTTGAGCAGATCTACGCAGTTATTAATTATTATTATTATTAATTATCAATTATTTTATTATTTGTTTGTTAGTTGTTTGAAGGCTTGGGCATCAAGGGTCTTGTAGCCTTGGTGTTACTGATGTGAGGGCGTGTATAAGGCATTGAGTGCATGATAGATAATCTAAACTTTTTGAAGAGAAAAGATTGGCGGCTGCGTTTCCTAGAAGCTGTAGTTGTTTTGTCAGTTTGCTGTCCGTGGGTCCGGGGGTGGCCGAGATCTTATCTTTCAATGTTGGCCTATATCGCGCAATCTGGTTTCTAAGTCGTTGAGAGATCTACGCAGTTATCTTGTATTATTATTATTATTATTGATTGATATTATGTATTATTATTATTAATGTATTGATGTAGTATTATATTGGGTCCTTTTATCATTATTATTATGCGTATTATTATCATAATTATGCAATGATCGATTATTATTGTTATTGGGTTGAGGCGCGTACCTGGCAGTCCCTGCCCTTGAGCGACATCTTGCCGAGGGTGAAGGGCACGCCGGGCTTGTAGCGGGGCAGCGCGACGTAGGCCTCGTCGCGGTGGATCTGCACGCGCGTGGCGATCACGTTCTTCGACACGTAGCGGCCCGACGTCTGGTAGATGTTGCGCGTGGAGGCGCACGGCCACGCCAGGTTGGCGCCGTTCAGCATGAAGGTGAGGTCCTGCTCCAGCGACTTGTCGCACGACGCCGCGGCCAGCGCCACGCACGCGCCCAGCAGCACCAGCGCTCCCAGCGGCGACATCTTGCACGACTCTTTACGAAAACATAAAAGAAGCTAGTTGTGATTCTCAAACCGAGCGAAATGGATCAGGACGTAACGAGCTGACTTCGCAATCGGGAGACCAGGGTTCGATAACCGCGCCGGCCATCCTGACGGGGTTTTTCGTGGTTTTCCTTAGTCATGTAGGCGAATGCTGGGATGGTTCTACTTATAAAGCCGCGACCGCAAACTCGACGATGCCAAACCGATTTCGTTAAGTACGTGATGATACGGAGTTTGGTCCCCCCGAGTTGGTGTATTGACGACAGACTGACAACCGGTTGTAAAAATCACAGTCAAATCATAATGGATCGTAGTAAGGGACTCGAAAAAGCCGACCACAGCTGAGATATGGTTTAGAAGATAATGATGATGAAATACGCTTCTTAATGACTAATATAAGATCTTGATAAAGTGCATCTTAATAATGTGCAGGGGTTAATTTTTTTTAACTAGTCTCGTGGGGACTTCGAGAAGCTAACTACTCTCATGGCTCCTTGGGGTGGTATTGCAGGCCATATAACAGACCATAATCCAACAAGCCAAATTTTATTTGATATTTTACTGAAACAAGTCAGATAAAATAATACATGATGCATTTCTAAAAAGATTCTCCGTATACTAGAGAAAGATACTACACTCGTTCGTGAAGTAATACCAATCCCTCATAGAAAAAGTATCCCTTTATCGTCTTGTATAATAAATTTCTTTCAATAATTACCAAGTTTCGTCTTGCTTCTGTTGAACGTGGTATTTAATATCAACGAGATATTTAAATATTCATTCACATCCACGAGATTATGTTTGATTGAAGATTGCTTCTCAATAAATTTACAAAATATTTAGTGAAAATTCAGTTGAGTAACTACAGATAATGTAATAATTTTAACTGAATATTTTCAGTATAACTCCAATACTGACAACTTTGTGAAGTGGCATATTGTTAGAATGTTGTTCTCTTTTTCTCGTGTCTTTCTAGAATATAGGAAAAAGGAATATTGTGGCGTCAACACATGAATGAACACTAAACAAAATTATCACTTATAATTGAAATAGCTGAAACTAATGAACATTAATTCATCCAGGAAATATATCTTCTAAACAAATTACCATCACCGAGGCCATGGTACAGACACCGAAAAGTGTGAAAAATATAATGTAATCAATATATCACTTTCCTGACACTTAAAACGGATTAAATTATTAATGTCGATTATTCAACATTGGAAATTTATTTCTCTCGTGTATTGCCCGCGACAGCCGTGTATTTTGAAAGGGTTCATAAAATGTGGCAATTATCAAATGTAGCCAACCAAATTGTGGCGTGAATTGAAGTCAGTTCTTGAATATAAATGCGGGATCTGGCTGCCATCCAAATGTCAAAGATACCTTCGGTTTCAATATGTCAAGAGGCGCCTACAGTAATTTGAATAAATAGTTACACGAAAATGTACAGTATACAGATGGCGCCCTGTCGCAGTTCGTATAACCATCAACACGTTTTTAAAAACACTAATTTCAAAGTTAATTAGTACAATTTAATAAACATAATTGATTGTATCGATTAACTTAGGTAACTATTGTCATTACCTAAAAAAATAAATTTATGTCGTTATCTTATAACTCGTAACATTGTAACAATTTTGGTAACAGGCAAATTACTTTAAAATAAAATGGTATTTTGGTCGGCAAAGTGAATATCCACAAGCCTGTATAGTTTGATCGAAATGAAATTGGTTCAATATTTTACTAAAATATAGTAATCGTGTTCGTGTGCAACTTTCGTAATTAAAATAACAAAATATAAGGGAAAAACAAACATATTTTAATTATCTTAATCAAGGTACTACAATGCCATACGAAGTGAAAGATATCACGATTTCAGATGTTTAAAAGAAAATAGCCATGGATTTCTCACAAATTAGATACAGCCTTTGAAGTTTACGATTATTTAATATAATCGTATCTATCTTCAGTGCCATATACTTTAATTTTTCTTGCCTAAGTAAACTCAAAACATCATGATAAAACTTTATATCGCCGCTGTGAGATTTAAAGTTCAGAGCCATTTACAAGTTTAATATGACTTGCTTTTTATCTTCCTGAATCCATCTGAATTTCAAGCGATTCAATTTTCGTTCCTGTTTATTCTCAATACGATGCCAAATGACCTCCAACCGCCCAAAACCAGCTTCACATCGCAGCCCGTGTGTATCGCTATTCTGACCGTGTGTGAAGCTATCCTGAGCGTTTTCATAACGCGGCATTAAAAAATTGTATTTCGCGGAAACTTCAAACAATACGAAAAGATAGATATTAAACGCTTCAAATCCTTCGTGTGATGTAATGTTCTCCGAATCAATTCGCAAGTTCGCGGTGCATTAAAATGATCCAAAAGATCCATCAGAACCATCCGTATTTTAAAATAATAAATATGATTGCCTGTGGCATCACAAAGTAATTCAAAGTAACCCGAAATTTCGGAAACGCTGCTTCGCATTGCTACTACCAATGGTGAAATGTGGATGGCGTAACGACGCCGAGCGAAGAGAGTTGGTGTCATGGAAGAACTGAATTTAATTTGCCCACAGAAAAAACGCCATAATAAACTCCTATATGAGGTGTTATTCTGTTGTTCGATTCCCCTGATTACTGTGAACAAAAGTGATCTCAAGACTTCCCAGCAGCCAACTTTAACGAAATAAATAATATTTTCTACGACTCTCAAACTAACTCACTCTGGCCCATATTACCTGAAACGCCGTTTTACATCACTACAATGGTGATTATAGGTGCACAAAGATGATACACGCCGAAGGAGGTGGAAGGATACCATTAAAGAACTGAATTCCCTTTGGTGAAACGTAAATAATCGTTATCAAACTCCAAACCCCTCCGAGTTGCACAATACTCTCTAGATTGACTCTCTTGACTGTATTGTCAAGAATCCCAAATCAGAAGAGATTTTAAGATACTGCATTACTCCTCTGAACTTTAAGAAAATAATTATTCCAGCCAGTGACTCCTCCCCCAAAAAAGAAACTGCAAGTCACCCACAAACCCTGAAACGCAGTTTCGCATCACCACTACTAGTGGTGAGATTTACGAAATATAAAGATGAGACACGCTGAGTGAGGCATAAGGGCAACATTAAAGAACTGAATCCCCTTCAGCAAAGGAAAAATAATGTTGATCACATTCCAAACCCTACTCCGAAAAGCATAACATTTTCTATATTTATTGCCGTACTGAAGGTGATCATAAGTGATGTTAAGACGTTCCAGTACTAATCTGGATTTTAAGAAAATGAATACCCCCGCCAGTGACATCCACCATCCCCCATCCCAGCTTTCCATCGCCGCTACCGGAGGTGAGCTGTGCATGGTGAAAAGATGCGACACGCCGAGCGAAGCCTAAGAAAACTTAATTTCCTTTAACTGGACAAATAATAATCTTGATCTCACCCCAAACCCTTTATGAGAAACATTAACATTCTCTACATTGATTCCTGTACTCAAGGTGATCAGAAGTGATCTGAAGACCCTCCAGCATTCATTGGAACTTTAGGAAAATGATTATTTTAGCCAATTACATCCCAAAAAGAAACTTCACGTGACTCTCTATCCCGAAAATCCCGCTTCTCCCCACCAACGGAGTTGAGCAGTGAATGGTGAAAAGATGCGACCCGCCGAGCGCGGCCTATGGAACTCAATTCCCTTTGGCTGTACAAAAATAGGCTTGATCTCACTTAAAGCCCTTTCTGAGAGATAGTAACATTCTCTACATTGATTCCCGTAATCAAGGTGATCAGAAGTGATCTTAAGACCTGCCACCATTCATCTGAACTTTAGGAATATGATTATTCCAGCCAGTGACATCCCAAAGAGAAACCCCACGTGACCCATAATCTTTGAAACTCCACTTCGCTCGCATCACCACCACCGAGTGGTGAGCCGAGCGCGGCGTGAAGGCGCTTCGCCGCTGGTGCGGCACTCACCTGGGCTGTGCGAGGGTGAGGAGCGACCTGCGCTGGTCGAGTGTGCCCTGGAGGAGCCTCGCGGGCGCTTTATACCGCGCGCGTGTTTGCATTCCCGCGCCGCCGCGGCCGCCACTCAGCACAACAGCCACCGCCGCCGCCGCCGCTGCCCGCGCCGCCCCCGCCGCGGCACGCCTTGCGGAAGCGCGAAGCCGCCCCCGCCCCCGCTGGCAGATGGCGCGCCCGCTGCCCGTGGTCCAGGACTTGCGGCACGCGAGTCCCCTTCGGATCAGGGATTCCCCAATTAAGGAACCAGGTGGATGAGGCCAAACCAACAAACAGCGCTGTCTCATCTCACTATAATTAAAAGGTTTCATTTTAATAATTTAGGCATCTGTATACATAACAGCTTCTAGGATATCGTACTAGCTTCATGTGGTGTGATTCCCGTTTCGATTCCCGGTATAGGCAAAAATAGAGTTGTACTCGTAGCTTTCCTTACGCACGCTTTCAGCGAGTCTCCTTCGAATTAGGGATTCCCCAATTAAGGAACCTGGTGGATGAAGCCAAACAAGCAAAGAGCGCGGCCTCTTCTGAATATAATTAAAAGGTTTCATTTTAATATTTTGGGAAGTTATATAAATAACAGCTTCTAGGATGGCTCATGGATAGCGTACTAGCTTCATGTGGTGTGATCCCCGGTTCCATTCCCGGTCGGGGAAAAATTAGAATTGTAGCTTTCCTTTCAAAATCGTCTCCATTTCTGTTGCTGTGTTAGGAAGAAAATTCGGGCAGAAAGCGTTTGCAAGTTATTGTGAAGAAAATACCTCGTGTTAGCCACATGTCTCTGTTACCCCCAGTCCTCGGAATTACATTAAGCCTAGGCACGGGGGATGCCGTAAGATCTCCGGCAAAGTCTAACAGTCGACCCAAAATGTCAAATGCATACTTATGAATATCGTGGAAATTCAGGGAACAGAGGGAAAATCAAATACTAAATTTATAA